TACGAGGTCACGAGCGTTTGGCCCGCGATTGAATGCAAAGAGGTTGGAGTGAGCGACTGCATCATTGGTGGCTCTGCTACTGTTGATCACAGAGCTATGCTTCTGATCCAAGGTGAGTCTCCCCGATTGATCGGCCACGTGTCTCTGGTCTAACGGCCTCAATTTTCGTTCCCATGATCAGACCGCCTGAAAGGCACACGTTGGGACAACTTTGAAGACTTGCGCCATCTGCGCCAAGCATTTTCTGAAGGCATCAAGGTGAGGATGGCAGGCTTGAGAATTCCCGCATTCACTCACCTGGTTGCTCACTGCGTTTTTCCCCCTCAAACCATAATGCTCGGCAGCAATCCTTTGCGCGCGCGGATGTGGAGCAAATTCTGCTGCCCATCGGCTCCTCGTCGGAGTCGGATTCCAAGATCGGTCTGCGCAGAGGCAAATTGGTCTTCACTGGCAAAGAGATTGCAGAGCTCTTCGAACCTAGCATCAAGGCTACTGTCGAGTCCATCGAGAGGCGCGTGGAGCAGTGCGGCGGCGGTGCCGGCAGTCTCATCACAGTTGCTGCGGTGGGCGGGTTCAGCGAAAGGTTAGTGAGCGTGAATCACTTTTTCCGATTTGAAATCTACCAGACTGAGCCAAGACGCCCCTCCCATTTTAGCGAATTCTACCGAAATGAAGTGCAGCGCCGCCTGGGAAACAAGGTACAGCTCAGCAAGCCTGACGAGAGCACGGCAAAGGCTGTCGCGAGCGGATCCTTGGTCTGGTTGATTGATGGCGTAGTGTCGAGTAGAGTGTCTCGTCTGGACTACGGCATCAAGTGTGCTACTGTCTACAAGCCCGAGAAGCCTGGTCACGTTGCTCGCAGGGGTCAAGTGTACAGTGGAGTAGATGGCACTGAGCATCTGCCGGGTGCCTTTGGATGCGTGCTGCGAAAGGGAACGAGCGGAAGAGACGACGAGGAGCATGTGAGTATGCAAATAGAGCCCGTACCTAAACTCTGCGTTGATCTGACTTGCCATAATCGCCGACCACGTAGATCTCGCCTTTTGTTTTGACATGGCTCAAGAATGTGCCCTGCACCGCTGCCATTTCGCTCTATGTATATCGTGGCGATGAGGAAGGCACAGAGGTGAGTGTCTGTCGAGACTGTCGATATCCATGGGCGCTGCTTATAGTATCCTCCTCATGTGCAGTTCGTCGACGAGGCGGGTTTCGAACAGCTGGCTACCTTCATGATTGAGTGAGTCAGGCATTAGCTCCAACACAAGACGCTCTTGAGCGGTAGAGACGAGTCGCTGACTCCGGCGCGCTTTTCAAGCATGGAGCCGTTCCGGCCACTGCTCAAGACTTGCCGTTCGACCGACGGAGGGGAATACATCAGGGCAGACGTCGAGCTAGCGATGAGACTGAACGCGACGGAAATTTCAGCTCAGTGCTTGTTTAGACACGGAGGCTCGCTCTACCGAGGACCGGTTAGCGTTGCAGCGACTCACAATTAGGCATGTTGAGCGCATAAAGCTGTGCTGGAGCGGATCTCTCTATCAGTCGCCAATGCGCTGCAGACTGGGCTTGCCGCTCTGCGCCCCGGTCAGGATGGCCTTGGAATATACCCTGCGCTTCTATTTGCCATATTCTCTCATCTCAACAAATAGCACATCCACTCTGAGGCGCGTACCAGCATGGACATTCGTGCGTGTCGGGTCAAGATTCTCCAGCGCGGCGTAGAGGTGGGGTCTCTACCCCCTCCCCTTTTCGAAGCTTTTGGCCCTGGCATATTTCTGCATGCACCTTTTTCAAGCAACTTCACAGTGGATTGGCCGACTGCTGAAAAAAGATGTATCTGAGCCTTGCACCAAAGAGTAGTAGATGATGCTGATCCGCTAGCAGCTCGTGAAACAAAGCGTCCCGATCTGGCTGCAGTCTTGCCACACGATCTGA